TTCCTTTCCATGAGAACATATGAATATTTCTGCTTGACCATTCTGATTAATATTAATATTTACAGAGTGGTCAGCTAGATTCTATAGAAATTCCAAGAAGTGCTTCTTAGGACTCTCATATGTGTCTCAAAGGTGCATTTCAAAAGGAAACTGGACTGTGTTTTTTCCTTGAGGAAGACGATCCAAGAAGCTTCATAAAAAGCTTCCGTCCCCCCACACCCTACAGTCAGAACTGATGAAGCGTCTTAGATGAGAATCGAAACTTCTTCTTCCTCAAGAAAAAAAACACAGTGCAGTTTCCTTTTGAAAAAGCACCTTTGAGACACCCATGACCCGGATGACTAAGAATCTCCATAGACACTATCATACATAGTTGCCAATAGTTGTTTCTCATCAGTACACCCAAGACTGAGTTTGTGCATAGTACTGAGCCATAATACAGTTAGTCTGGTTTTAGCTTAATAAGACAACAGAACAGGGGTGAAATCCAGCAGGTTCTGACAGGTTCTGGAGAACCGATAGTGGAAATTTTGAGTAGTTCGGAGAACCGGCAAATACCACCTCTGGCTGGTCCCAGAGTGGGGTGGAAATGGGGATTTTGTAATATCCTTCCCCTGGAGTGGGCTGGGAATGGAGATTTTGCAGTATCCTTCCCCTGGAGTGGGTGGGAATGGAGATTTTGCAGTATGTTTCCCTTGGAGTGGGTGGGAATGGAGATTTTGTAGTATCCTTCCCCTGCCATGCCCATCAAGCCACACCAAACCCACCAAGCCACGCCCACAGAACCAGTAGTAAGAAAAATTGGATTTCACCACTGCAACAGAACCCTGCCTATATCTAAAGCAAGAAAATGGTTTGCAGGTCATCCTAATATAAATTTGGTTCAGACAACACAATAAACCATGGTGTCATTTTATTTTTAACCTATTGTGTGAATCCAGCCATGGTATTGTCACTTAATTGAAATATGACCCTACAGTAGCTTATTCAAGTAAACCATGTCTAAACAACTGAAAAACTGCTATTTTATTTAGATGATGCAATTTTATATGGCTTCTTATTTTGTCCTTTCTTGAGGTTTACAGATAAAATGGTTTGATATATGACTCCAGGCATTGACTCTCATTTTACTTTCACTTATCCTATTAAGTTTTTTTTACTACTGTTTCTTAGCAAGCTTCAGACATGGTCTGAGTAGTTTCCAAAGCTATTCTCCCTCAATTCCAGATCAAATGATCTTTTTCTTTCTTAATTTAGCCCTCCAGAGCTGATTCCTGCTTATCAAGAAAGCAAAGTCATCCTTCACATGTCAATGTTTATTTTTTCCTTCCCATGATATGTAGAAACCCCAGCCAGTTTTGGATGATCTGAACTTTCCTTTCCATCACAAATGAGGATGTTGATAGTCAGAGCTTACTTTGTATTTATAGTCCTTGACTTACAGCCAAAATTGACGCTGTATAAGTCATGCTAGTCATTATAGGGTCATCATGTGACTGGGTCAGTGGTGAAATGTAAAATTTGTTACTACCGGTTCTGTGGGTGTGGCTTGGTGGTGGTGGGTAATGTGACTGAATGGACGTGGCCAATTTTTTTTTTTTTACTTTTAAAAGCATTTTTTCTACAACCTCTTCGGCCGAGCCCAGCTGAGCTGCACAAAGAGATTGTAGAAAAAATGCTTTTAAAAATAAAAAAAAACCTCTGATGATCGCACGGCTCATCTGGGCATGGTGGGGAGCAGGGATTTTTGCCACCGGTCCTTCGAACCACCCACCGCCCTTGCTACCTGATTGGGCGATCCGGTCCGAACCGGGAGCATTTCACCCCTGGACTGGGTCCAATTTTATACTCTGTTTTGTGGTGGTAGTTAAGCAACCAATTGTTCACTATGGAGTGTTTTTTGCTAGAAACTGGAAATAAATGCTGGTTTTCAGCAAAATTGTTGTAAATTATGATCACGGACGCTGCAAAATGGCCATAAATTTGTTAACACTCAAAATGCGATCATGTGACTGTGGGGGGGGGGGAGGAGGGAGCCCAGCTATTGAAACTTTGAATCTGGGGTCGTAAGTACCTTTTTAAAGGTCCTCCATAACTAACCACCAGTCATAAGTCAAGGAGCACCTGTATTTGGCTTCTCCAAAGATCGCAACATACATTTTTACAAATCCACTGAAAATAGCTCTACTAACAACATAAGACAACTGAAATAGAATCCACATGTTGAGAAGCTGAATTACACCATTTGATGAGGCAAGAAACAAGGGAGGACCATTCAGTGGTGGGATTCAGCCAGTTCTCTCCAGATCACACGAACTGGTAGCGGCGACTGCGGGAGGCTCCGCCCACCTGCCCGGATGTAACGCGTGACTACTGCGCATGCACAGAAGGCCATGTGCATGTGCAGAGGCGGTGACTGTGCACGAAGTGAGCATGCATGCGCGCTCACGTTTACGAACTGGTAGGGAAGGTAAGTGAATCCCACCTCTGGGACCATTCCAGTGTTTATTTTCTATTTATGAGTTTTCCATTCCTTGGAACAACAATAAATAAATAGAAGAAAGAAACAAAGTTGTGGACAGAAATTCTGTCTACACAATACCAAGCCTTAAAACTAAATGCTACAAAGCCAGAATTGAGACGACGACAACAGACAGCAAATGTGCCTCTGTAAATAAGCTGAGGAAACCATGGTTAGTTGTGTTCAAGAGGATCACACGGACTGACTAAAAGCAACGGCACGACAAACTAGCAATAACGGTGTATTGGAAGATCTGCAAGAAGTAGCATTTGCCTGGTGGGATCATAAAATGAAGAAAGTACAGGTAGTTCTCAACTTACGACCACAATTGAGCCCAAAATTTAGGTTGCTAAGTGAAACATTTGTTAAGTGAGTTTTGCCCCATTTTAACATCTTTCTTGCCACTGTTGTTAAGTGAATCATTGCAGTTGTTAAGTTAATAACATCGTGAAGTGAATCTAACTTCCCTGTGGACTTTGCTTGTCGATGGATCACAAAAGCTGACCACCATGGAACACTGCAACTGTCATAAATATGAACCAGTTGCTTAGTGTCTGAATTTTGATCACGTGACCAAGGGGATGCTGCAAATGTAGGTGTGAAAAACAGTCATAAGTCACTTTTTCAATGCTGTTGTAACTTTGAACAGACACTCAACGAACTATTGTAAGTCGAGGACTACCTGTAATAGAAAATGAAGAAGCTGACGTGCTCTGGGGCTTTAGAATTCAAACAGAGAAGCAGGCATCTGTCACATAACACCCCAGACTTAACAATTGTGGATAAGAAAGGCAGAAAAGTCTGGGTAGTGGATGTGGAAGTACCTAGAGACAGCAGAAGAGAAGAGAAAGAATTGGAGAAGATTGCAAAATACAAAGACCTACAAATAGAAATAGAATAATGGTGGCAAAAGAAAGCGAAGATAGTATCAATAGTAATATGTGCAATCCCAAAACTGCAGCACCACTTGAATACCATTGGCATTGACAAAATCACCATCAGTCAATTGCAAAAAGCAGCTTTACCTGCAACAGCTTATATCCTGCGAGGATACCTTTAACACCATCTAACAATAACATCTCCCTATCCCAGATTTTTGGGAAGGACTCAATAGGTCAGGGGTGTCAAACATGCATCGTCACATTATCACGTGATGTATCACGACTTTTTCCCCTTTGCTAAACCAGGGGTGAGCGTGGCCAGCATGTGATGCATCAGGCCCACGGGCCCTGAGTTTGACACCCCTGAATAAAAATAATAAAATTCAGTGTAAACCACTGGCTGACTGTGTGACAAACCATAACAATAATTTGTTAAGTTCGTAATGCTATCAAATCAGAAAAAATCAAGGATGGAATGCTGGACTACCTGGTCACTATGCTGATCCAATTGGAAAGTTCTAGTGTGCTTATTAGACAAGAATAAAATATAAAATATAGGAATAAAATATAAACCAATTAACATTTAAATAAGAAAAGGATCAAGTTGCCTTATTATTGAAAAGAACTTTATTTTTATTTCCCTTTAAATTATGATTCTCCCTCCTCTCTTTGCTTCTGGATATTGTGTTCGTTATTATTTTAAGTAATTATTTCATCTATGAAGATGGTTAACCAGTATGTAGTTTTCCTTTTCTTTTAATTGTGCCCAGACACCGCATACGTTCCTCTCTCACTCCTCTTTTTCTAACTTCCTGTTAAAAGAAGAACATTCATAAAATGTCATAATCAGCAGTTTAGTGCCACGTTGAAAACTAAGAAAATGTATTGCAGCACATGCTTCCTCAAAACAGCACTTGTTTCATTAGATGCTAGAAGGGTTATGACACACACATTCACACAAATGCATCAACAGAGAGGTCAGATCAGAAAGAGCTTAAATGCAAAATAAAATAAAATAAATTACACTTTCTGGTAATTTGACCAGTGTGCAAAAGCATGATTGGCAAAGTACTGTTGCGAGCATTAAATTCAGTTTATATAAGTTTATGTCATTAGACCATTAGTTTTAAGCTGCAAAAAACACTCTATATGTCCGAATTTTTCACACATATTCAGGGATCTGCCTGGGTAGTTCTGTACTGCCAGCTCCATCCTAGCATAGTCCAAGCAGGCAATCAACCCATCCCATGCTTTTGCTGTCACACACCTGCCGAAGTGGCCGTCTGTACCACTGCTCCACGAATCCTGCATCCCTTTGCTCTGACCAGTCTGCCCTGAAGCTCCAGAGGCCGCTGAGATCCTTCAGCTCCCTGGAGGATGACTCCCGTGGGTAGAGCATCCCGCCGTCCAGGGCTCCAGCCGGACACCATCCCAGCACGACACAGCAAGCGCAAAGCAACAACCTCATCCCTCTACCGCACTCCGCCCGCGCTCTGCTGAGACAGGAACGAAAGTCAGCTGATGCTCAGATCAGCTGACGATCGGCTGCCAGTCCTTATTCGGGCAGGGACGTGATACGTCAACTCCGTGTGAGAACAGCCGCAGCCATCTTTGTTGAGGGCTTTCCTGTTTCCTGAAGTTGCCGCGTTCGAAAAACCGGAGTCAGTTGAGGGTGTTGTTACAGGTAACGCAGACAGAAGTCTTTTCAGCGTGTGGCGCCTTTACATTCAGATAGATAGATAGATAGATAGATAGATAGATAGATAGATAGATAGATGATAGATAGATAGATAGATAGATAGATAGATAGATAGATAGATAGATGCGGAAACTTTCAAGAACGGCTTTTCAGCTTTCGGATTTAATGCAGTACTGTGGTCCGCAAACGCTGTGGCCACAAACATTTTCTTCCAAATTTGTGTGTTATTCATCGATCTAACATAGATCACCGCTGGCTTTAAGTACAGAAAGGGGCACCGTTTTTTTTTTTTTTTCAGGGTGCGCATTTGACATCCCAGGCCATTTGAACGCGTATATAGGTGAATATTGCAACCCAACAAGACAGACACAGACTTCAGAGGATAATTAGAACTGCAGAAAAAACAATGGCTACCAACCTGCCTTCCATTGAGGACCTGTATACTGCACGAGTCAAAAAGAGGGCTGTGAAAATATTTACAGACCTCTCGCATCCTGGACATAAACTGTTTCAACTCCTACCCTCAAAACGACGCTATAGAGCACTGCACACCAGAACAACTAAACACAAGGACAGTTTTTTCCTAAACGCCATCACTCAACAAATAATTCCCTCAACACTGTCAAACTATTCACTAAGTCTGCATTACTATTACTATTAGTCTTCTCATCGTTTCTATCACCCATCTCCTCCCACTTATGACTGTATGACTGTAACCTTATTGCTGGTATCCTTAAGATTTATATTGACTGTTTTCTAATACGATTTGATTGCTTATTTGTTCCCTATGACTATCATTAAGAGTTGTATCTTATGATTCATGACGAATGTATCTTTTATTTTATATAAAGAGCCCTGGTGGCGCAGCAGACTAAAGCACTGTTATTAACATCAGCTGCCTGCAATTACTGCAAGTTCAAATCTCACTAGGTTCAAGGTTGACTCAGCCTTCCATCCTTTCTAAGGTAGGTAAAATGAGGACCCGGATTGTGGGGGCAATCAGCTGACTTTGTATAAAATATACAAAAGTATGAAGGCTATTGCTTAACGCATTGTAAGCCGTCCTGAGTCTCCGGAGAAGGGCGGCATATAAATCAAATAAAAAAAAAGTACACTGACAGTATATGCACCAAGAAAAATTCCTTGTGTGTCCAATCACACTTGGCCAATAAAGAATTCTATTCTATTCTATTCTATTCTATTCTATTCTATTCTATTCTATTCTATTCTATTCTATTCTATTCTATTCTATATTAAAAGGTAGACTTCAAATCTCATTAGCAGAATATGAGTATCAGGGCTAACATAGTAGGCCAGGGCTGGAAAAAGAAATAGGTAGAGCTAAGATCAAAATGAAATGATCTGAAGAAAGATAAAATCCTTGGAGTTCAGCTTCTGGTGGTTTCCCATTCAGATACTATTAAGGTTTAATTCTACTTAGCTTTTTTGCTAAGTAGCCAAAATTGTCTGGATGCTGCCTTTTGTTATGATGAGTTTGACTTGAATTTCATCTGATTAGGATTAATGCGTTGTATTTAATGTCATATGAACCTTATAACTTGATACCAACTTTTAGAAAGGCCCCAGGTTGCCTGCATAAGCCATAGTGCACAATGTGAACCAATTCTGCAATATGTGGACTCCTTCAATTGAAGCTTATGCAAGCTATGGTGAAACAACCAACTTTAAATGCGGATGATACAGTCTTGCAAGTCTTTTTTCTAAAAACAGTGAGCTATTTTCTCTTTTATTAGTTCTCTTTTCATAAACATTTTCTCAGCCTATTTAGCACTATGAGAAGAGTCCAGTATGAGAAATGTAAAGTCTGCAGCGCTACATAAAGTAATGCATTGCTGTTCAGTTGGCTGTTGAGTGTTTGATTCTCCTTCCTGTCTGGTAAACTGTCCAGGTTTTAATGATTACTCTCCTTCTATTGTGCCCTGGAGTGTGTAATCAATTTCAGACAAGGAGTAGGAACAATGCAAGTGGTTCAGATACAGATAGATGGGCAATAGAGATGAAACCACTCAATCTTTGGACTGGACCACCCATGATACTTTTGGCTTGGTGGATTCACTTCTGGAAAGTCACAGAATTACTCCTGAAAGGGTTGTCTGGAGGAGGGCAGATTGGCAGTCTGGGGGAAGAATGGAAGTTTTTGGACACATCTGCCAAACAAAAGGCAATATCAGTAACTTTCCATCACTGATTCTATACCCAAAGCCACCAATCCTGAACCAGAGTTCTAACTAGCAACATATGGAATGCTGGCTGACATTTTCAGATAGAAAGCCACAAGGTAGAAAGATGGAGAAATGGTAGTTGTGTTGGGTAACATTTAGCATGAGACTCCCTTGGTTTTCAGAATCAGAGCTGACTTGCTTTGAAGCTTGAACCAGAGCTGAAAGCTTTGAAAGCTTTCTTGGAAACCTTGACCCTGAAGACGCCGACCCCTTTGCCCTTTGAACTTTGACTGCTGGTAATAAATGCTTCGTCTCCTAGGAACAGAATAGCTTTGTACAACAGGATATTGCTGTTGCTGGTTCTCAGTATTGAAGTCCATGTATGGGTTTTTTTGAATTTTGATGAGCCAAGATTGGACTCTTATTGTATCTTCACCATTCATTTTAGCATATTGTGCCAACCCAGCTCATTGTTCGGTTTATAGTCATGATCTTTCTTCCCACTATTGTAATTATTATTATTATTATTATTATTATTATTATTATTATTATTATTATTATTATTATTATGGGACGTCACACAATCAGCCAGATGTTCAAACTGGATTTGGCATTTTTGTCTGCCTATAAAGTTCTTCTCAAGGACCTGGGATAGGCAGATATGGATGTTTGATGGTATTGCAGATATTGTCGCACGATGTCAGCTGTTTCAAGTAAAGCTGGTTTTTGCAATTGACTGATGGTGAATTTGTCAATGCTGACATGGTGTTCAAGTGTGCTTCAATGATTTGGAGATTGCACCCAAGGAACTATTATTAGTGGTACTATTTGCCACCTATCTCATGGGCTACTTTTTTATTGTAAATAAAAACAATAAAATGATAAAAAAATACTGTTCTTGGTATGTACACTGTATGTACTTTATATTTGTTATTGATTTGTTTTCTATTGAGTTTTAATTTTATGTTAGCTACCCAGAGTCACTGCTGAGATGGGTAGCTATATAAATTGATTAAAATAAATGACTACATGAATCTTTCTCGGTGGAAACATTTTTGAAATAATAACTAAATTTTTCCTGGTTGAAACATATGACCCAAAGTAAAAAAGAAAAAGAAAAGAAGAAGAAGCATACACAGTTTTTCCTGAAATCCAATATGCCACTGTATTTATTATCTTGTGATTAAACATGCTAAGCAGAAACCTGCAGCAATGGGACAGTATTTCCCCACACTCAAAACTTAATCCTTCTGTCTCTTCAGTATCTCCTTCAGATATTCAATCTGGGCACTCACGCAGCTCCTGGCGGTGCCCCCAGGGGAGGTGTACTGCTCCACGCTATGCTGATGGTTGAAGATTTGTGAGATATCACTTCCCATCATGGGGCTGGAAGGAGCAACAAGAAATAGCTTCAGTCAGATATTACGGAAAGACAGTCTTTTAAACCTAAAGCTTCTCCTTTCACACATTTTAACTGACCGAGAAACAGAATGCAGGAGCTCTGCAAATAGGAACAGCTGTCACCTTCAATGGCTCCTACTAGAGCAGGGATGGGGAACGATGGCCCCTTTATGACCTGTGGACTTCGACTCCCAGAATTCTTGAGCCAGCCATGGGATTCTGGGAGTTGAAGTCCACAGGTCATAAAAGGGCCATTGTTCCCCACTCCTGTCTTAGAGAATGAACAGATCATCATTAGTAAGGCAAGTGGACTACACAGCCTAGCTTACCTAAGCTAGAAATATTCAACTTCACATTCTAGAAGAGAGTTTTCACCATGCTGGCTGGGAGTTGGGAGTTCAAGTTTACACAACTGAAAGTTGCCAAATTTAAAAAACACTGTCCTAGAATCTGGTGCTGCCTCTCAAGGTTTGGAGTACAGTCTCCTCAGCTCATACCAAAGTGGTCACTAATTTTTAAGTGCACAACTTAGCTTTACTCAAGTTTCAGAGCAAATAAAATGAGACCAAAGTCAGATTTCTGCCCTGGTTCCGCTATTATTTTAGACTGCAACCCTTAGCATGCAACTAAAAAGCCAAATGTGAGCTTGGAACTCAATTTATGACTCCTCAGTACAACCCTGTGAGGTAGATTAGGCTGATAGACAGTGGGCCTTTCTGTGAACTTTCTGGTTAAGCAGGGATTTGAACATGGATCTGGTACTTAATCTTAACACTCTACTCCTTTAGCATTGATTACAAAAGATTGCTTTATGATTGTACTTATGAAATAGTTTTCATAATTACTTAATTAGGTTGTGCTACTATTCGGGGGATAATTTCCATCCCTGGGAAAAAAGATATGGAATTGTGGGGTCCCAGAGGGTCACTGAATAGATGATAGTAATAGCATAAGTCTTTAGCATTCCATAAATGTGACTTATCTCCATATCCAACTACTATTAGAGGTAGTAATATGACTTCCTTGTTTTCAAGAGTTAGCAATAACAATAGCACTTAGACATATCAACCTCTTCATAGACTTTACAGCCCTCTCTAAGCGGTTTATAGAGTCAGCATATTGCTCCCAACAATCTGGGTCCTCATTTTACTGACCTCAGAAGGATGGATAAGTCAACCTTGAGCCGGTCAGGATCGAACTGGCAATGGGCAGAATTAGCCTGCAATACTGCCTTCTAACCACTGTGCCACACTGGCTCTTAAAAGCAATATCTACTATAGGAAAACCTTTAAAAGCTCCCATAACCCAATACATACTGAATTCCCTTCATGTCATCCATGGATAAATGATTAAGAGTCACTCCTTTGCTCTCGGCTAAACGGACTGCCTTCCCCACAACAGTGTGGGCTTGTCTGAACGGCACCTGGAACACAAGGGGAACAAAATCAGGAGGCTTAAATATTTTCCTGTCTAATTTTTACCCTCAAAAGATCCCCTGTGTTCTGAAGCTGACATTTCAGTGCTGACATTTCCAACTATTTCTGGACTATAGAATGTGGCACAGACATGAAATGCAAAACCCAATGGCAGCATCATTTATGAAGACTCTTGGATCCCTGCTGGGATATTCTTTGAGTTGGACAGCCCTATAAATCCATTAAATAAAATAACAGATATTGGAGGAAGGTACGGACTTGTCAGTATAGCCAGCAATTCCTCAGGCTCAAAGTTTTCTCCGATATTTGTTTAGGGTGATAAGAACGGATGCCCAGCCAATTTCTTGCCCAGCTACATCCTGTGCCATTAGAGTCATGAACTTGGCACATGGATATAAGTGATTCTGTCCCCTACAAGCTTGGATACTCACTCCTTTGCGCACCAAATAGTAAGCAAGATCTGTAGACAACATTTCAGGGGTCAGGGCTCTTTCCATGTTATCCCTGTTGATCTAGACGAATGAATGAAAGAACGATGAGAAGGAATCATAATTATCACACGCTAGCTAGTCGAAATGAATGAATGTATTTTTAACCATTATTTTTAAAAAAACTCAACATGGCAGTTACATTCAACTTGGTGAACGCATAATGGGATTTCTGCTCCTTGAGTGTCAAAAGTAGATGTAGGACGGAATAAAGGGGCAAGGTTCTTGGAGATTCGGAGAAAAACATTTAAGCCATTCTAGCCAATAGGATAACCCATCTTTTTGAAATGCTCACCTGGAGAGTGGAGATAACTCCAGTGGAAACTTTAAGCACAGTACTCAGGGTATCCATCACATCCATCACAGCTTCCTTATCTTCCTATTTGTAAAAAAAATGTTGAAAGACGGTTACCTAAGAAGATAATGGCTGGTAGGGGAAGAACATCCTCTGGCCCCCAACATCTGGTATTTCAGTGCATGTGGAAGCTGATATACTATGGGCAGAAACTTTTTTTCCACCTTATACAAGGGCTGTCTCCCAGGGTAAGTCTCAAGGTCACCTTAGCCTACTAGCCAGTTTCCAGTAATGACAAGGTCCTTAGTAAGGTTCAATACTAAAAGATAAACCACTTCCAAACATGGCAATTCTGATAATAATCACACACAGATCCTCCCCAATAATGATCATAAGGGCCATATGTCAAAAAAGTAATTTTATATTTGCTAACCCTCAAGTAATATTCAGTGGCTGCATTCACGTAATAAGTTGAATATGGATATTGAATTAAGTTATTTGCTAGATTTGCACCTTAGATTGCATGACAAACTAACCTGTTAGCCATAATACAGGTGAACAAAACATTAATCAACCTTAGCATGTTATGCACATGTATCTCCTAGGATCTTTAAACTGATTAAGTATGTTGTGTGAACACAACCTAATTATGTCAATTTAGACTAGCCTAAAAAGGATCTGACTGGAACAGAAGGCAGCCTATCTAAGTCAAGATTCTCTGAAAGTGGTAAATTCCCAAAAAAGAAAATTATTTCACAACAAATTTAACTTTTACAGTGGCGGCTGTCTTCGTTAACAGTTAAGAGAAAGGGATGTAAAAAATGAATTATACAAAACAAAACAATTTTGAATTCTGCAAATAAGCCAGGGAAATGGTTGGCAGGAATGTTATCAAATTAGTAAAATTGATTTATTCCTCATAAAAAGCACAGATAATTGTGAATGACTGAAGAATTCTGGGAATTGAAGTCCACACATGTTAAATTTGCTGAGGTTAAGAAGAAGCACTAGCCTAAGCTAGCCTAGGTGCCATAAGCTCACCAGCTGCTTTCTGGATCTTATCAGCCCAAACTCTACTTTTAGCCCATCCTAAAGAATTATCCCAAAACCACTTGAATTCAAGCATTTGTTCTCTTGCAGCAGGAAGTTACAGAATCACAACTACATAGCCAAAAATCAGCTGAATATGCAGAGAAGCAGCAACTAGAGCAAGCCTTGATGATCAGATGGAAAGAATCCCATCATTTACCTGCAGATCCTTGTTATAGGTACTGGGAAGTCCTTTCAGAATCACAAGGAGTCCAGTAGCCTGCAAGAGGTCCAAAAAGCTCTGTTAAAATTCCCAGTTCTTGGCCATGTCATCATCAAGGGCAGTAAATCTCCCCACCTCATTTTCAAGGCTACAGTCTCTTGTGCATGGATCAATATTCTAGCCACACACCCCACCCCACAGTTTCATGAATCCTCGTTTTCTTAGAAAGCCTGCATTAGCTTTCTTTCCAGACTCCTCCTACTCCATTCTCAGTTTACATTGAATATTTAACTTTTAAAAATAGGAGCTATAATCATGTAACATCCTAATCTTCCTTCCTTCTGTGGGTCATCGCAAAGGTGGTATTTTTTTTCCCAAAAGGCAACTGGGCTTTGTTTTTCCTTGAAGACGTTCGCTTCTCATCCAAGAATCTTCTTTAGTTCTGACTGAAGTTTGGGGGGGGTTATATGTCAGGTTCTGGGGGGGTTATATGTCAGAACTAACACCTTCCCTTGCAAACATATCCCTGGCTTACTAAAGCATTTCCACCAACTCAGTGTTTTTAACTGTGATGCTTGTGACACAAACAAACAAACAAACAAACAAATTCTCTGTTCATGAAACCTGAGCACTTACTCTTCCAATCACTCGGCCAGCCTTGCTGCGGATCAATTCAAGGCTATCTGGATTTCTCTTCTGAGGCATCAGGCTGCTCCCAGTGCTTTAACCAAAAACAAAAAATAACATGATGCATCTGCAAATATCTCAAGCTTCTAATGCGCAAGCAATGTCTAATTCTGCACTACTAGCATGAATTCACAAATTTCCTAATCAAAGGAAAGATGGGATTATTTACTTATTTGCTTTCCAACTGAAGAGGGCACTAGAGGAAATGCCCTGGTGCAGGGGTCTCCAACCTTAGCAAGTTTTAAGCCTGGAGGACTTCAACTCCCAGAATTCCCCAGCCAGCTTTGTTGGAGACCCCTGCTGTGGTGCACAGATCTCTGGCCCTGCCTACTTGGTTCACTGTTGTGAACTCCATCGCTAAGTACTGTGGTCAGTAATTGAAATCTCATGTGACTGCGCCCGAATTATGAATTCGCTTCTGTTTCCATCATTAAGTGAATCAGGGCAGTCATTAAACAAGACATCACATGACCAC